TATATATATATATATATAAAATCGATATTTTTTTGAAAATAGCCTACTATGATCAAAACCAAAAATGCTTTAAATTGCATTTTCAAAACATATCTAGGTATTAGATAGAATTAATTGAGGTTTCGTTATACACGAAATGGCACTGCGATCATAGATCTGTTGTACCATCCCTTTAGGTTCAGCTACAGAATTCCAATGTTTTTAATAAATCCCAGCAAGTCCAAATAGCGCTGCTTCCTTGTGCCACCTATATTGACAACATCCTCCTTGAAGTGGTAATGGCGAAAAGCACATGGTGACTTACAGTCACATAGAATGTGTGCCGTGTCTCCTCAGCTGTACTACAAAACCTACAAAATTTAGAGTTACTCAAATTGAGCTTAACAAGAAAACTATTGATACTCATGTGTCCAGTCAAAGCACTAATTAAGATGCTAAGATCCCTTCTTGTCAGTTTCAATGCATTATTTAGACTGTTCTTGTTGGTAGGGCCTAGCAGATTTTTAGCTGTTAGGGATCCTTTCTCTGAGCACCATATGCGAAAGTGTTGCGTGATAAGCCTATGCTTTCTCGCTATCGGGATCGGGATCGGGATTTCCCGGGATTTACCGATCCCGATCAATCCCGGGATCCCGAAATTTATCGGGATCGGGATTGAAAATCCCGGTTATTTAGTTTAGGAAATTATTGATGTTTTAGAACCTGCTAAATACGCGACAGAAGAATTATTGCGTAAATCAAACGATTTATTAATTGCTGAAGGAACAATTAACTTTTTGCTAGACGAATTGTTGCTACAAGGAACATTATTGTCTCAAAAGGTTTACGATATGAATTGCGCTCGCATAGGTGCACGAAGAAATGGAACATTAATTGACTTAATACTTTACCTGAATAATCCTCAATATATTTCTTTAGACAAGCATTTTAAATCGTCAACAAAAGCTGCAATACATAAACTTGGCATTGACTTATTGAAGAAGTATTTTGCAGAGGGCGAAGTCGACTCGAAATTTGTATGAAGTCGAGTGAACTCAAGTCGACTTTTCCATACAAAATCCGAGTCGACTTCGCCCTCTGGTATTTTGTCAAAAACTCTACAAATGGAGCTATGGAAGCTTCAACATCCAGTGCAAATCAAATCCAACCGTCAAACATTTCTATTCAAGATAGACTGAAACTAAGCATATCTGAATATACATCATTAACAACAGATGCAGCAGCAACAGAACCAAATAACTTGAAAAGAGAGTTTAATTGGTATGACAAAAATAAGAAGAGAACCGTTTTATTAGATCAACTTTACGATGCATTGATAACAATGCAGCCGACCTCAACTCAAAGCGAACGAAATTTCTCTATTAGTAACAACATTCTTACAAAACAAAGAAAACGTTTACTTGACAAGAATCTAAATGCAATTGCATTTGTTAAAAGTTTTTTCATTAATGCTTAATTTTTATTATTATATTCACACCGTTTTCTATAACCTTTTAACTTACATCTTTAGCAACATTTATTTTCTATTTTTGTTTATGTTCACATTTTTCAAAGGAAACATGGATTAAAACATCTATCTTGTAACACATAAAGTATAACTAATTAATTAAGGAATAAATGACCGTATAAGTAGCAAAAAAATATGCAATTTTTTTTGGGAAAAAAAGCAGAAAAATGCTGTTTTTTAAATTTTTTTACATATTCGGGATTCCCGGGATTTCCCGGGAAATCCCGAAAAATTTCAATCCCGATCCCGATCCCGAAAATTTGTCGGGACCGGGATTTCGAGAAAGCATAGATAAGCCACTCACGAATCTCCCGTTTTACGATGTCCAAACCGTAATAAACAGTCTCTTCGTGATCTGTTTTAGAACACGCTTCTTTAGCAAGTTGATCCGCTGTTTCATTTCCTACGTTTCCATTATGTCCTTGTACCCAATGAAGTGTAACTTCATTGTCCAATCCTAGAGATGAAAGACTAGAAATACAATCATAAACAGTTTTAGACTTTATGTTACAGTTGCCAAGTGCTGCTAACGCAGATTTGCTGTCAGAAAAGAAGCAAATCTTGCAGTCCTTTACTTTCATATCGCTAATATGCTTTGCACCTACACATATAGCCTGCACTTCAGCTTGGAAAACACTTGCATGTTCCTGTAAACTAAAGGATAATGAAATTTCCAAATCTTTACTGAAAACACCAATCTCGACTCCATCTTCTGATTTGGATGCATCGGTGTGTACACAAATAACATTTGCCTCAACCATTATGACTTCATCTTCTGAGGTGACAACTTTAAACGGTTTGTCAAATACGTGCCTACAAATTGGATGATCTGCTTCCACAGTTTGCGTGATAAGCTTCCAGAATAGCTGTGTTTACATACAAAGATAGCTCCTCCATTTCATTTATTGATGAAATGTTTGGTACTAAGCTTTGAAGCTTATTAGTAAGTACACATTTTTAGCCTAACCAATCAGTATTTCTTGGATTCCTAAAACCATCACCAGAAAATAATTCTGATGCGACTTCAAACGTAATATACTTGTGATCTGAAAGCGATGGCTCTTCAGACACTTGCCAATTTAAGATTCTGTCGCTAATTGCTCTATTAGAGAAAGTAATATCAATAACTTCCTCTCTGATACTGTTATAAAAAGTAGCCGCATTACCTTCATTCGCAATCATCAGTTCCTTAATTGCAATGAATTTAAAAAGACTTTCTCCTCTAGGATTGTTATTACTACTACCCTTTATCATACATTGCACCTTCTTCTAGCAATTCAAAATCTGTACTGCATACCGAAAATGCGATTTCTTCATGATCTTGAACGCCAGCGTGTACTTCTTAAGCTCCTTCATCTTTCATATCTCTCTCTCTCTCTCTCTTTTTTTGAAACGATGATGTCCGCTTTTCCTGCTATAATTTCTGAATTGCTACCTAAAATATGTAGTTTCATGTCATTATTATAATTGAAACAACAAGCACTTTTAAGGACGACTACTTACTTCTTGTTATTGTTATTATTGGTCACATAATTGAACAACTTCTTAAATTTAGTAACACTCTATTCATTCATTTTCCAGTTGTAGTCTGAATTTTCAAAGCTAGTTGGCTCCATGTCTTGCTGGAATTTTCAATTTGATTGGAATATCTGTGTCTTTAGAAATTTCCTTGTAGCTTACACGTTTCGGATATCATTTATGCTCAAAACTATCTAGGCTTACTATTATCTTCAGTACAAGATGCAATAGCTATTGTATAAATATCTACTTCTACTAATTCTGTCGTTGATTTGATATTTTTGCACGTTTCTTGCAATCAATTGATGTCTGTGTAGTTACATGCTTCATTCATTATCTTTATCATCACTGCTTGGCGTTGAGCTTGCTTGTTTATAATCTGTCTTCATTCTCTTCTTTTAACCTGTGTTACTTTTATCCACCCAAAGTGGGTTCTCGGGTTCATCATTTAATTTAATATCTGTTGAGAAGTGGTTGCTTAATTAAAAATTAAGACAAAATAAGAATAGATAAAAATTAATGAAGTTTATTTGATATGTGGAAGTAATTAAGGAATAGTCAGATTCAGGACGAGAACCTTCGCTATTAGTAAATTTATTTGAAAGAGAATCAAATTTTTAAAGAATTAGCAGTATGGCAATCTTCTTCATTCATTCAGATGTGCTAAGAGGAATTACATGGATAGAAAATGAATATTTGGAGGATTTTGACTATGGAGATGATGCATTGTTTTGACGGCAGAAGTCAGTTTAGACATTCCCATCAAGAAGACCAAGGAGATTCGAGTGAAAGAGAGAAACAATCGACAACTGCACATTGCATTGTTTACTAATCTACATACCAATCAAGTTGAACACTTCAGTTATCCGGAAGCAACATATCAATTGTTTGAAGCGCACTAAAGTACCGAAGCATACGAATTTAATAAGCGTGAGGAGCTTTTACAAATCCTCAGGATATGGTGGAAAGGGAATCCAAAAATTAGCCTTCGAATGAAAAGCTTCTTGAAAAAGTATTCAAAAAGACATCAACGTACCCTGAGAGAATGTCAATGCTGGTACAATAAGCTGCAAATGAGCTCCAAAAGATATTCTATATCAAATTAATTCACATTACTTACAATAATATGAAGTTTGAGATCTTGAACGCTGGTTTCCATCATTACTGAATTTATTTGTGGATGACTATCTTTTCATGATGATTTGTTGATGATGTCAATTAAATTGTTGTTGTAATTTTTCTTACATATTTTTCCAAAGGAAATTGTTGAAGGAAAGAAATTTTTTCTAAAGGTTGCTGGATTTTTGTTTTTGCATTTTTCAATATTAATAATTGAGCTTATCCACTCATTTTCTGTCCAATAGATTTTTTTAACGGAAATTCAAAATTTTAAATGTATTGTTTTGTGAACGTCAAAGCTCAAATTTGAAAAAATATTCAATGCAAGGAACAGTCTTGATATTCGAAATCTTTACGTAGGATTTGCTTACATACGAAAATCATGATTTTTTTCAATCGCCAAAAAACGTGATTTTATAAAATCACGAGCGTTTCAACGCCTCACGAGCCCTGAAATTTCATATTTAGGGCCGTTTAAGAAAAGGGACATAGGTTTTTTGCAAATTCAGAATTCTGCAGAACATAATGAAATACCCCAAAATTTATTGGTTTTATTTTATCAAGTTTTTCTTAACTTGTTTTCTTTTAGTGCAAAAAATACAACTTTTCTGCGTCACGTTACGTGATAATGGTCATGATCGATCAGAATATCTTATGACCTTGATTTTCTATAAGCAACTTTTCATGATATGATGAAAAACTTCTTTATTTTCTTAAGTTTATCTCTTATCACTTTTATGATCTCGTTAAAGAACAATATTTATTTTAAGTCACCAACAATCAGGTTAAGAGAGACAAATATTAATTTAAAAAGATCAACAGTGATATTATGATATAAAAACTCTATTATCTCCATAGAACATTCAGTCTTTCAGTGGAATTTCAGTTTATATTATTGAGAAGTAACAAAAAAAAATGTCATCCTCAGACGATAACAAGTACATTCTAGAAGATCACAATTATGGAAAGAACGGAGTGAAAATTTTACATCTCGTTAGAAATGGTAATTACAGGCATATTTTAAATAGAATTTTTTTTTTCACTGACTCATGTACTTCAATAGGTCTCGTTCATATTGTAAAGGAGCTTGAAGTGTCAACACGTCTCACACTATCTTCACAAAAAGATTATCTGCAAGGTGACAATTCTGACATCATTGCTACTGACTCGCAGAAAAATATAGTGTACTTGCTAGCAAAGAAGTATGGCATAAAGTCACCAGAGGATTTTGGAATCTTGCTGTGCAATCATTTTATGTCCAAATACGAACATGTGCTAAAAGTTTCTATACGCGTTGAAGAACTCATGTGGAATCGAGTGAATTATGGTGATCATGCAAATGTCAAGTTGCATAACCATGCATTCGTTCATACTCCTATGTGTACACGATCTGCAAGTGTCGTTCTTAAAAAATATGGTATGTACCTTGCACAGCAAATACGCTTAAAACCTTAATATCATTCTCTTTAACTGCTCTATAGAAAAATATCCAGTCATAATTAGTGGCATTAAGAATTTGCGTGTCTTGAAGACAACAAAAAGTTCATTTGTTAATTTTATTAATGACGAATACCGCACACTTCCCGATGCCGATGATAGAATTTTCAGGTAAATATAAATTAGCCTTAGATATGTCTTATTAAATATAATGGCAAAACAATAATAATTTGTATTTAATAATCAGCACAATCGTTGACTGCTCGTGGGTTTATTGTTCTAATCCACAAATAGATTATGATAAAGCATGGGAACTTGTCAAGTACTGCGTTCTCAATAATTTTGCTGGAGATTTAGATCAAGGAATACCATCTCCAAGTGTTCAAAATACACTTTATATTACTGAAAAGGATGTTTTGGAAAAGATTCAGCAAATAAGTTCTATTGAAATGACGTTGCCAAATAAGCATTATGTCAGTGTTGATTTTTCGAAATTTAAGAATCTTGTTCGGGATGATGAACAAACAGTATATTTGCCAATGGATAAGCCATCAGGTGTGATTTATGCCAAGCTAGATAGAAAAAATATTACAAATAAATTGTAGGTGAATACCTTAAATATTAGAAAGTGAATAAAAATTTCCATGGTATTAAATGCAACATAAAAAGTTTGTTAATTCTTTATTTGAATTTTCACAGATCCATTTTTAGGGATTTTATCTAAAAAGCGCAATTAAAAATTATATTTTTTGATAATATTGAAATACAATAGGTATCTTACATGCTATTGATTCTTGAATTTCGAATTCATTGCTCTCGTTTGATGTGTAATATAAAGCATCACGGAGTTTGCTGAACCGAAATGAAGATATATTGCTGTTAATATCAATGCCAAAAACTGAATTAAGATACAAAAATCCTTTCACATTAACTTGATCCTTCAAGCAGTTGAGGGTTTTTTAATTCCAAATATTTTAAATGAATCCTTATGCCCAAATATCCATTAAAGATTGCTTGCAAAAATCCACCAGCACCTGTAATAAAATTAGCAGCACCTTCTTCTCCTTCAACAACTTCACTCCACACATTAAATGGCTTCCGAATGTAAGGCTTAAAACTTTTGTTCAACATCTCATTAGCATCTGCGACATCATCTATATCAAGATAATTAATCGCAAACATTGAATATGTCATAGCAGGTCCGCTCTTTCTGGTTGCATGCATATAAAAATTCAAATCATTTCTTCTAGTTGATTCGTTCATGGGAAATTGAAGTGGATAGCCAATTAAAATTGTATCAGCCTGCTTAACTTTCATGCCTTTATTATATCCCTCGTATTCTGGATGGTAGTTTAGCACTTCATCATAAATTATTTTCATATTCTTGGCAATTTTAAGCCATTTATCTTCAGTCGTATGATTCATTTCAGTACATAATGTTCGCATCAGTCTAAATGAAAAAATATAGGTATAAAAGTATAGAGGACACGTTGAGTGTAACAAATCAATTTGAGCTACAAAGAACTTCATGTAAAATGTGAAGTTTGTAGCACGAAACTGAAAAAAAATATACTCCATGAGAAAAAAACTATTTTGATGATCATTTTCAATTGCCAGACACCGCGATAGTAATTATTTTGTGTATTTGTCCCCTTCACTTCACAGTCGATTTCTTCTTCGTTTTCTTCAAACTTAAATCTCGTTTTACATTACTACTTCTCAAAACTTCTATGTTAAATTATAGCAATTACTTCGATATTATTTTACAATTTTTTAAATTATATCACAGAACATGTCTTTTGTTTAACAAATACATGCTTAAATGTTCAAAGATGCCGTGTGACATCATGACATCACGACCTTAAAAAACGACACAAATTACCAAGTGTCAAATTTTTTTTCCTCGTCTTCATTTTCTTCTTTTTTTTCTCACATGGAAATTATTTTCTTTTATTGAGACTTCCATTTAGAAAATTGAGACCTTTTCCAACAACAAAAAAAGACCTTTTATTCGGATATCGTGTTTCTTTGTTGTTAGAAACAAACAAAAAACTACTATAAACGCAATAGTAATTTAGAATGAGAAAGAAAATCATTATGCTTGATATTTTAATTTCGAAAAAAAAGATGAAAGCTACAAAAACAAAATTTGTATGAACGATGATGTTATTGAATATAGCTTTAAGCAAATTTAAGAATATTCTTTTAGAACAAATATTAAGATAGTTAAGATGAAAAAAAAAATTAAAGTCTTAGAACTATTTTTGTAAACATAAAGATATATAAACTTAAAAAAAAAACTTACGATCCGAATTTCAATGCATTAATAGCGACGACATTTGTATAGACATTGTTTTTTGTGTCGCAATGATCTTCATCAGGACCCATTATGTGATCAATTTCATAGAGACCGTTTGTTTCATTTAAATTCACACGACTTTCCCAAAACTTTGCTATGTCTTGAGCCATTTCACAACCTTCATCTTTTGCCCACTGAACATCTTGAGTCAGTGCAAAATATTGCTGCATAGCAAAGCTAATGTCACCAGTAATATGATGTTGATATTCGGCAATGTACTCATAGTTTGGTTGAATTGTTTCATAACCTGTTGCTGCACTTTCCCAAGGAAATCTTGCTCCCTTATAGCCAGTCAATTTTGCATATTCACGGGCAGAATTAAGCATAATGTAACGATAATGTAATAAACTCTTTGCCCAAAAATGATTGATTAATGCAATTGTTGGAAACATAAAAATTTCAGTATCCCAAAAATTATGACCTTCATAATCATCAAGATTACCTCGACCAAGACCCGTTGGACTGAGACCATAAAAAGGATGTTGTTGTGGTAAATTTACTCGTTCTGATGGTAAATTACATGCAATATTAAATGTACTAGATATAATTGCCCGCAGCTAAATAGAAATTTCATTTGTTACTTACAGGAAAACCACAACTGAATTTTAGCCATCATATCTTACCAATTCGTCGTTGCCATTAATTTCAATGCGAAAATTATTCCAAAATCTTTTCCACTCATTAATGTGACTTATCAGCAGATCGTCATTAGTTATGCTAAAAACTGGAAAGTAGAAAGTAAGAGAATCAATTAAGGATTCATGTCATAATGTAATCAAAAAAAAAAAATTCTTTACGCAATGTTGAACAAGTAGTAAAAATGTCCATTCATTATGAGAATATATCAGCATATTTTCATTGCATAATTAAAGTAATGAACTAAAAGTTTCATGAACTGAAACATAACAGAGGCACTTCGCATAAAGATCATCTTCATTTCATATTTTTATATTCTTATAGCATAGAGTAAATCATGTAAACATCACATTACCATCAATCATTTCCTGTCTGACATCAGCTTCATGTATATCAACAGCCATAACAAATTTATAAGAAATTGAGGATGCCATTTTGCTGAGTGTGAGCTGTTCTGGAACATGATTCCATAGAACACAAGCATTTTCTTCTTGATGAATTGGTTCCTCTTGAGTTAATCTCTCCATTTCCACTATGTGACCACAAAGAAGTTGAAAATCATTTTCATTAAAATGAATTGTTTCATTTTTTGTAAATTCTAGATCATCTTTCGCTTGCGCTGCTTGTGTTTCATTGTTTATATTACTTCCGGAGATATTTTGGTAAATCTTTACTTCTATATCGTCTAGAAATAAAGAATACAGCTTTAAAATTTCTCATTTTTTTTCTCTATTTCTTTAACAATTTTTTGGTTTTTAATGGATGGATTTTGTTTTGTCCATTTTCAAATTTGGCAAAGCTAAAACATGATTTCTTAAAGAAGCATGTAAAAGAATCTTTTTTTAACGATGACAACCCTGTTGATCCAAAACAGATAGAATACTCATAAACTTCAATGGAAGTTCATCAAAATCTTATTTGATCCGCTTTAACAACTAAAGATTGACTTTAAATTTAATCATACTATTTCATCTTCCTTCATTAAAAAATATAAAAATAATAATAAGAAATACTTAAGCAGGAATGTTGTTAAGCAACAAGTAAAAAGTTATTTCATTATTGGGGTGAATTTTTATTATTATTAAATTTTAATTATTGCACTTGTTCTCACATTCTACATCCTACATACTCAGTGGTATTTCATTTTCATTTAAAACGTATTTTTCATGCAAACAGGATTCGTCATGCTCTGAGGAATATGAGACTATAATATTCATTCATTTGGTTCGCCGACAGTGAAAGTGCAGTAATAATTTGGTCACACAACAAAAAATAATAAAATATAAATTCATTTGTCATTGGAATGTAAAGATGAAAATTTATTTTCCCATGACTGTTTCAAGTTCTAATCCCTCAGTATTTAACATGAATACAGGAAAGAACAATCAGAACAAAAGAAGAGAAAATTGAATTAGAGTAGAGAAATGAATGATGAAGAGATGATTTGTATTACAAATAGATTTTAGCAAATAACCTGATTGATTGCTAAGAATATTAAGAACAGAGTAAGTCGAGTAGCAGAAAAATAATAATAATTAAGCTACCACGCAAAAACTTTACCTTTTGACCTCAAACGTTGAATGAAGAATTGATTGACTACTGCACGATTATAATATCGATGCGCATAAATCAAATGAGTTACATAGAATTCATTCCCTACATTCATTTCGACCATAAAATATCCATTTTTTGCATTTAATGTATATTTGCATTTTTCTACGGCTCCACAGTTGGTTAATTGAATATTTGAAAAGTTGGGAATACAGGCACGATGAGATAGTCCACCATGTCCATTATAAAGTGCATTCATATAGACAGAATCAGAGAACAATGTAAATCCAATATGGCCATTACTTAGAGTCGGTAAGAGCTTTGAATCTTTGGGTATGCTGTAAAAGGTCGTATTGAGGGTATCATAAAAAAATATTTTCGAATTGCTCTACAATTAATTAGCACCTTTTTGTTGTGAATATAAAATGATCATCATCAGTATTATGATTGTAGTCGTTACCGCTTCCATTTCCGATGATATCATTCGTTTGAATCATAAAAAATGGTTTATTGTTTCTAGACAAATACTGTATCAAATTGCCTTTGCTACCACAAACTAAAACACAGCCAATTACGAATAATAATTCAACACAATTTAATTGAATCATTGCTTAAATTTTATGTTCACTTTTTTATAATTTTTGTTTGTTATTTGCTACTGCTACGAATCGCTAATATGTTGTGGATAAATGAGTTATGAATCATCCAATCTGTAATTTTATTTGATTAAATTTTTAATGAAACAACAGATTATGCAGAGTAAATTTCATAACAAAAACTACATTCGAAATTGCTTATTATGCTGTTTAAAAGAATTTATTGATCTCGGAATTATGCAATTGCAATTTGACTTGTTCTAATAATTTATTTTTTTTTTAAAATTCTGAATAATCAAACTGAAACTTGATGCAACTGATCTAAATTTTGTAATGAACATTGTTATGAGCAGCTCATCAAAAAATTTATAAAAGATCATGAAATCATGCAATTTGTTTTAATTTTAAATATATATGGCATGAATAAAAGCTAATTGGTTAAAATTATAAAAGTTTTCTATTGCATAAGAAAACTAAGGGGTTGTTTGTATATTCAAAACGTTTAAGGCGAGGGAGTTTAAATTATGTTTTGCTTTATTTTAATATGTTTTTACGGAATATGTGATCAACTCATAAATGGAATTTGTTCCGAAATACTGATAACTTTAATCACACAAATGAGATTTTGTTTAACTTTATTAATCAGAGCAAATATTTTTTTTTTCATAAATACACACTTGAAGCTTGTGAGCTAAAAGAAATTGGTTGATTCATTTTTTTTTTAAAGAAAGTATTTAAGTAAAAGAGAATAATAGAGGTTAAAGTCCAGATTAGCATTTTAACAGACAAAACGCAAGCAAAACATAAAATTAAAGTCAATCATAAGAAATTATGATTGTTATGTTTGCGTTGCTTGCTCATTTAACGAGGATACGGTTCAAAAAATTTCTTAAATTTAGTTTTTATATCTTCAATTAGAAATTCAAATGTATATTAAAGGAATTTCATCAATTTTTATGTACTTTTATTTCTTCAAGTAGAACCAACGAAAATTATTATTTTTCTTTTTAGAAACATCAAAAAAAATGAAATAGATTTATAAAAATAAAATGATAATAATTATTTCAATTGTGGAATAAACAAGAAATATTTTATGAACAAAGTCTAGCAAGCAAGCGGCAGGTTCACTTAAATTTTTTTTAACTTTTTACATCTTTTTTGTTATTCTGAAAACCACTCACAGGAAAATCACTGAACTGAAACATTTCAAGAATGAAAAAGTTATAATAAGAACGAGAGAGACAGAGAAAGAGTTGTGAGTTCTTATATAAAATTGTTATTCTCTCATTTTTGTTACGACGAGCGTCAAACATACAATTTGTAAGCTGAATTATCAATTTTTTTTCTTTCATTATTCCAAAATTTATTCTCCATGCTTTATAATAATTTGAATGAAATTATTTCATTTATTATAAAAAGAATAACTTTTCATGATTCTTTTAAACTGACCTTAGTAGTTAGACATAGAATGTGAAGAATGCTTTTGTGATGAATTAAATTGTATCCATGTGATTTCATCACGATATTTAATAAAATTTCAATTTTTGAATATTAAAACATGACTTTCTTCGATATGATTTAGTGCAGCATTGAAGCCAGCAACTAGAAAGCACTTTGGAGGACCTTAACTATAATAAAACATTTTTGAAAAAATCATACAGGAAATAAAGAGTGTATGAAGTAGGTGACAAAATCAAAATGAAACTTACATCTGTTTCATGAGACCTAGGGAAGCAAAATTCTGATTTAAAATTAGATCTCAAATGTAGAAACTTTTGCAATAATTAATTACAGTTAAATGACTAGACGTTGTTCTGATTCTTTATAATTGCACAAAGTTTAATAAGTTTTTTGTGGGAATAGCTTGATTCTTTTTTGCAATAAATGAGACGACAATTCAAAAATTAATTCATTGTGACACCATTCACAACCCATAGGTGCTTTAGAAAATATAAAAGAAATTGGAGTTGATTAAATAATGATAAAGAGTAAATAATAAGAATTAAAGAAAAAAGAGCAATAAGAAATAAAATCTGCGCTAGAAAGGTAAGGCAAACAATGTGAAAGTGTTGAATTCAGAAAAAAAAATTCATTTTATATTCTTTTGTCCTAAGGAATTAATAAAAAATAATGCATTCGTCGTACTGTCAATAGATTTTTCTCAGCAATAAATCTGATTATTAATGCTTTTTACTTGTGCACCATTTTATGGTAGATAATGAACATAATGGAGTGGCAGAATAGAAATTAAAATTAATTAGATTTAATTCAGCAATCATAATTTAAGCTACCTTCTTCTTTACAACGATGAGTAAATGACTAGAACACACGCATAGCTATAAAAGTTAACTCTTCATTGATTTCAACTTAAACTATTTAATTAATTTATCGTGAGCAAATACTTCGACTACTTATTATTATATAGTTATTAATTTTCAATTGAGTTGAACCTGCCTTTCTTGAATGTTGCTTTTAAATCCAACATTATCCAAATAAATACAATGAACTAAGCGAACCCATATTTATTGTATATAAATATCTTAAAAGAGAATTATTACGCCAGGTTTATCTGAATTTCAATGCGTTTCAATACGAAGCAAAATAATTTGAACAGCATTGCATCCGGTCTTTGAGGTTTTCTATTTCATTATCTTCATCAGTGATGATGGACGGTGGAAGAAAAAGTTCAAATGTTTATTTGTTCGCATTAACGTTTTGACTTAAGATTTTCAAATGAAGCAGCTAAAATTAATAGAACCTTCTGTTTTTCAGTTTCTAAACTGAGTTTAGCTTTCAGCACATTTTTTGTGACTTGTTCTCTTTCCTTTTCAAGCTATAGTTTTTAACATTGATTCAATTTTTAAAATTTCAAAGAACTTCAAGATGAGAAAAAAATGCATGAAGTGTCTTTTGAAAATGCACTAAAGACAAGGAAAAGATTCAATTTAAGTAAAAGAAAAAATTATTTACCAGCATTACGTGGTCAAGAACTGTTGTATTAGTCAACCTTATATTTTCATATGTACATTGGTAAGCATACTAAAGCAAACACAAAACAAGAAGAAGGAAAAAATGAAAAAATAAGAAACAATCGGAAGCAAGGGGCATTAAAAAGAAATTCTACACGTGAAAGGAAAAGAAGTAAACACTAATTAATCTGCAACGGATTCTTAAATGTAAATAATGGTAAGAAAGTACCTTCTACAGTCGGTTAATATGTTAATTCTTAGAAAGAATGGAAGCAAACGAGAATAATAATTAATAAAAAGAAAGAAAGAAATTATATCATGAGCATTGACTATAAACAAGTTTTTAATAAGTATTAAAAATATAACTCGTTCAGACATAATTCTACTATTAAATCACGATGACTTGATGCCTTTTCAATCAATTTTTCTCTCATTTTCAACATACTTAATGATGACAAGATATTAAAGACAAAGTGATTAAATAGCAGATGTATGTACTTAATTATAACACCAGAAAAGTTACTCACATACTCTTCCTTCCGATTCAGCCAGATCTTGAGCATTTAACCTTAACGGAATTTTGTCTTCATGTCTTAAACTTAATAAACAATCATTGTTTTACTTAAAAATATTTATTCCTTTTTTTGTAATTTAATTTATGAATTAAAATGCACTTTATAGTAAATTTATTAGTCACGCATATTATGCAAAAGAGAGAAACTTGTATTATATTTTAATACATTTATGACTTTATTGTCTCATTGTTAAGTACATATGTATTCTTTATGTTTGTTATTTATTTGCAAGAAAGCAAAGAAAAAGAAGATTCTTTCATAATATTAATTTATTATTATATTTTAACGACAAAAGCTCCATATTGTTTCCAACTGAATGCATTATTATATAAAATCTGAACTTTTTGATAACTTTTAACTTTTAGTAATAGACTTAAAATATCTTGAACTTTTTTATTTGATTCTTAATCAAACAATTACTATTGCAATTTTTGAGATAATCGCAATATATTTGGTTTTTAATATGAGTTGTTGACTTATGAGATTAAATGAAAAAGTGTTTACTTTACTCTTTAAATATAAATAATGATAACTTTTTTTAGGAGTACTATTTTATTCTTGGAGAGTCTTTATTTTAAAGCAATAAAATATACTCTTAGCTAAAAAATCGTATTTTTCCAAAAGATCCAAACTTAATAAACGTATAAGTTAATTTCTCAATATTTTAAAAATATTATTTATGATAATCAAAGATCTTTATTTTATTGCATTATAATTAAATTTCTACGTTTATAATTCTGCTCATGTGAATAAAACTTTTTATTATAAATTGTCATAAAAAATTGACCACCAAGAACGTTTATTCAAAACAGATTATTTGTGTCAATGTGGTGCAATTTTTAAGTTTTCAAAAAATATTTATAAAGCGATCACGTACACGCTCAACATGGCATGTCATTCTCATAATTTAGGAACTCAAATAAAGTGAACTATTAAAGTTTAAGAAAGTTAATATATTAGAATTTACAAACTTTTAAAATACTCCCGAGTGGACAAAGTACTAGTTAAAAGCTTGCCATTGACTTGCCTTTTCACGGCGAGTAAGTAACCATTGACGTGCCTTTGCAACTAGACTTAGGGACGACTAATGACATATTTTGCGCTTTCCATTTAACTGGACATAGGAATTGCAAATATGTCTAGTTAATGTCCAGTTACAAAAAAATCGAAATAAAATAAATAACACGTGTCTTTTTCTCCATATTTTTTTCTTTTGTAAAATTTTATTATTGTATTAGTGTAATTAATTAATTAAAGTACACTATCACTTATGAAAAATCTCTAGTAAAAATTGAGTCTCGAACACTTGCGCGTGAAACATTTATATTTACTTAAAAGTTTCATACAAATTTTGGTGGACCTTATATAAGTGATTTCTGTAAGCGCTTGTGAAGTATATGGTCAAAAAAGTAAGGAAAATTATTTTTGAGTTTCGAACACTTGATTGATTAGCATGAATGTCCAGTTAAAGTCTAGTTAACGTATAGTTCTCTATATCGTATATATTTCGACAAGTTAAAAGACTGTTAAATGATTGTCCAATAATGGACTTTA